ATATATTTTTATTATTTTATTTTTATTTTATTTTTAATAGAGGTACGAAGTACCTCAATCTCACTAGTATATAATAAAATAAATAATAAAGTAAATATAGGAAAAGAAGATCATTTGACTTGGATTTCAAAACTATCAATACAAATTTTACATTTGAAAAATATTTATTCATATATATATTATAACTTTTTCTTATTTACAACATTTTTCACCCATTTAAAACATTTTTTTTACTATTATTCTCGTAATAGCATAACTTCAATTAATCCAAACCATTTTCTTTTGAAATGGACTCGAACCCAACCACCTTAAAGACCATAACTTATTCCTAAACAAACACCAAGTTGACTGCCAGTCAAGATCAAACAATCAAGTCCGTGTTCTCTCATCCTTCTAAAAATACGTTGCGAGTTAAAAATACAAAACAACTCATTCTTCAATCTTCAATCTTCAGAATTACGATGAGCACCCTCTGACTCAACATCAGAAAGAGAAAAAGTAATTTAAATATTAAGTTCTTACGGGTATTCGCGCGGGAATCTTTACGCGGAAGTTAAAACCTGTTCCCTTCGCCACGCGTCACGTGTTGATTGGCGCGATCCCTTTCCCTCTCGCGCCCTCAAAAATCCCACACTCCATTGCAGACCACTCTTCCTTCACCAATGGCTTCACAAAACCCTAATCAGAGAAATTCTCTGTACCCCGAAGTAATCAATTCGAACCCCGATGCTCCCTCGCCCCTCCTCCACCCCAATCACCCACCCTCTTCGCAGCCCAACCTCTACCCTTCCGTCGACTACAACGACCTCGTCGAAAACCTCTTCCCCGACCACGCCACCGCCGCTTCCCCCACCGCGCCGCCGGAGGCCACGGAGGAGCTCCTCCTCCGGATCCCCGGCGCGATCCTCAACCTCGTCGACAAGGACTACAGCGTCGAGCTCGCGTGCGGCGACTTCTCCGTCATCCGTCTCCGGCAGGGCGACAACGCCGTCGCGGTGTACGCGCGCGTCGCCGACGAGATCCAGTGGCCGCTGGCGAAGGACGAGACCGCCGTCAAAGTCGACGACTCGCACTACTTCTTCTCGTTCCGCGTCCCCAAGGGTTCCGATCCCGATGAGGACGAAGAGGATCTTCTGAGCTACGGGTTAACGATCGCGTCGAAGGGGCAAGAGGCGCTGCTGAAGGAGCTCGACGCGGTTTTGCAGAGCTGCAGCTGCTTCTCCGTGCAGAGGGTTTCGGAGAGTGCGAAGAAGAAAGGGGAGGCTCTGGATGGGTCGGTGGCGAGGGAGGTTTCGCCGAAGGATTTGGAGTCGGGGAAGAAGAAGGAGATGATGGAGGAGCGGTGCGCAGCGTATTGGACCACGCTGGCGCCTAATGTAGAGGATTATAGTGGAACTGCGGCGAGGATGATCGCTGCGGGGTCTGGACAATTGGTTAAGGGGATATTGTGGTGTGGGGATGTGACTGTGGACAGGTTGAAGTGGGGGAATCAGATTATGAAGAAGAGGATGGCTCCTGGTTCACATGCTGAGGTTAGTCCTCAGACCTTGAAGCGGATTAGAAGGTGGGTTATCAGCTATTTTAATCTTGTTATTTGGTTAATGTCGTTGTGCCCAAGTCTTTTCGGGTTAATCATGTTGAGAAATTGATAGTTTACCTTTAAAATTTCAGAGTTCGATTAAAAATATTATTAGGATATAATTTTTTTGCACTATCAATGCAAAAAATTTTACATGGTCAACTAATTAGAAATTATAATTGGTCTTCTAAAAGAAAAAAAAGAAATTATAATTGGTATTTATTTAATTAGTTCTGGTAGAAGTTAACAAACTTATCATGTATGTTTGTTTGTGATTGGATCACAGTGTAAACTTTTTTTTTTCTTTTTTTTCATATGCTATTTACGCATCTAGTAATTAGAATATTATTTATACAACTTTTAAAATAATTATTAACAAAGCTAACAATTTTCAATTATGATTGTATCATATATGACATATGACCATATTTGGTTGGATGACCTCAAACATCTTTACACTATCAATGTATTCTAATTAAATTATATTTTTACCTAGAGTTAGTGCAAAATTTGATTATAGTATCATCTGCCATGTCACTTAATTTGTTAAGACATCTTATTTTAAGTACTTGGTTTTGTAATTAAATTTCAAGTAGTATGTTAATATTATATATATGTACCAAAATAAGTATGATAACGTATTATGGGATTAATTTCTATGCAATGTAAAAGGCAACAAACTTATCATGTACGACAGATTATGATTGAATAACTGTTAAAACTATTTACGATGTGAGTCTATACATTATTTACTCATAGTCATATGATTCGAGAATAGTGCTAAATGTTAAATGTTTTCGCTAGCAGTGGTAATGATTAGGGGACGTGCCTATGTGTCTTTAAAGGCAATATCCTCCTAAAAAAATTGTAAAGATTTATCAACCTAAATAAAATTTTCTTATTTTTTTTACCGTACCTTTGCCTGGTATATTACTATGTCATGTCTATGTTCAATGTTTATTAGATGAGGAAGTTAGAGTCTGCTACTTTTTAAAGTTATAGTTATCTATTTTGTTTTTCAGTTCGAGTGACTATTTAATTTACAATTTGGACATTTGGTTTGATATGTAGGGTTAAGAGAGTTACTAAAATGACAGAAAAAGTAGCAAATGGTTTCCTCTCTGGGGTCGTGAAAGTGTCTGGATTTTTCACCAGTTCTGTGATAAACTCAAAAGCCGGAAAGAAATTTTTCAGCCTTCTACCGGGGGAAGTTCTGCTTGCATCATTGGATGGATTCAGTATGTTAGTTATATTAATGCTGAGATGTTTGAGTTCCTAGTTATAACCGGCAGCCAAATCTGAAATATATTTCTTATAGAAAGAAGGAAGTAGATAACCCTTTGTCTTCTTTAGACAAAAACAAAATATGATATTTATTAATTAGCAAAGGATAAAAAAAGAAAAGAATAGATTTTAGCTTCTTAAGATTTTTCTTTTGATAAATTTAGTTTTGCTTTCTTCATGGTGGCTTCAGATGCACTTTTGTATACAACGGTGCAATTATTTTTCCATCCTTTGGCCAATGCTCCATTAGTTACTAGTATACCAAGTCTTTTCTCCGAATCATGGAACATGGAAGAAAATTTAGGAGCGGGCAAATTGAAACTGATTATGTCAGAATCTTATGTTTTGTGATTCAAGTTGCGCAATTAGATTAGCCAGTTGTTTGTACCATTTGATGAATTTTGCCTGACTTTGAATTGTGTGATGCATGAATGAGTCGGTGTGATTTCATATCATTAGCATGAATTATATGATTCAACTATTTGTTATTTTTACTTTTTTACTTACATCAATTCTCAAGAAATCAAAAAGTCAGATATGATTCAAGCGTCTAATGAAAAAAAAACTAAAGGAATGCTACTGAATGGCTCCTATTTGATTATTCCACTGCTTTGCTTTTATTCTTTTGAAACAAGGGTTTCACACCATCTCTTACTCATTTGTATGCACTCTATGTGGATGTTCCATTGCTTTGGTTTCATTCTTCTGAAAGATTGGCTTCATGCACTCATTTGTGACGTATGAGTTTGTTTCATGAGACTTATGGTTTAAGTTGTTTTGTCAATTTCTGGTTTAACATTATAACATTAAGCAGTGTGTATATATGATAGATTTAAAGCTCTTTTTCATGATGTTTAAATGTAATACGATGTGATTCACAATTTGAATCATGATTTGATTTTGACAACTGTTGGTAAGGTGGCTCGATCGTGGGCTCTTTGATCTGCCTTCATTGCAGCGTTTAACACCTAAATTATGCTGGGTGCGAAGGGGTTTAGTCCCACATTGCCTAGTAATATGACTTAAGTGGTGCTAATAAGGCTTGCACAGTAGTCTTCTCACCTTTTAAGTTGATTTTGTGGGATTGAATTAGATTCTAAATTCAAAATATAAGAATAACCTTGGGCGATTATTCCCTATTCAAATACGGAAACAAGTTCAACTCTTTTAATCTCGGTCTTTCTGAGATCCCAGGTTGGCATGTATTCGTCAGCTAGTTAAATTGGCATGCAGCTTTATGGCCTCCGCTTCTGTACGAGGAATGAGACACAATTATGCAGGTTATGTGTCTGATTTGTCTGAATAGAGGATATGAATATTTGTCTATCATCCACTCTTGTATCTTATTGAACAAAAGTGGTGATATTGTTCCTCCATGGATCAAGAATTTTGATTTTTGGGAAGTATCTTGGTCATCCAATAATAAGGGTTTCCATTTTTTCAAATGAAAGATTTGAAGAGCTTATTCTGATACTAGTACTATTATTCAATACATCAGTTTTTATTTTTTTATTTTTGGGTAGGGGATAGCTGGACCCCCTGCCTGCCTCTAGTATGTTCTGCCAGTGTTCTCTCTTTTAGTATCTATTTTCATATCGAGTATGCTTTTCTAGATAGATAGAAATGTAATGCATTGCAGTTGGCTTGGCATTACACGCATCAGTGGATATTTGTTCTGATAGAGAACATAGTGGGATTCTGTTTGATAACCCATAGTGTTAGTCATGTAAGAAAGCAAGGGACTAGGCCTGCAACTATTAGGCCCATTAAGGGTGTGTTTTGGTTATAAGCTGTAGACCAGTAACCTCGTATAAATGGGAATAACTGTAAACTGTTTTAGGGGACTTTTGTGATTGAGAAAGCAGTGTAAGGAGTGGATCCTGGCCTCTCAAAATAGCTGGAGCAGTGTATTGTATTTTAGGGAGATTTTTCCTATTGCCCATTCAATTCAATAAAGTTTGATCCTGCTGCTTTTGATGCCAGTATTCTATCAGATTCACTTTGGCATATTTAATAATTTGATATTTGTGGATATATTAAATTTTCATTACAATGTTTCCATTTGGAATTAATAAATAAAATTTATGTCAGGTTTCAATACAATCAATGTCATGTATGAATCTAATCTTATCCATCTTTCAATAAACATGTGTTATATAGCTATAATTTCGGCCAAATAAAATGGTGATTTGGTAAAATGGGATGCATGCTTATATGAGAGTTATTTCGGGTTGGAATTGCCTTGTTTAATTAGTTTGTTTGATTTTGTCTTTCAATGTGCGCAATATATGAAATTGTTTGGTTTGAGAAAACATTGTGTTTTCATTTTCCCAAATAATTACAAAAATATTATGTTGTTTTCACTTTGTTTCTTGTTTTTAAATTTTTTTACATGAAATAATGAAAACAAGATGATGTTTTATTGTTTTTTGTACTAATATTTGTAAATCGGAATTAGAGTGAAATGTAACTTTTTTTAAATTATTTATGAAAACAAGAAATGGAAATAGAAAATGTTTTCTCAAACTGATCAGTCTGGAAGCGTCTTAAATGGAAAACAAGTTATTCCCTCCATTCTTGTCCGTAATCAATCTTAGTCATTTATATTCATTTGATCAAGAACTCATATATTTGGACTGTTAAGAGTAGCCAATCATGATTTTGTTGGTTCTTTATCGTTTACCAAGCTAGATATTACTTGATAAGTCTGTCCTGGAAAAGTTTAAATTTTTAAGTTTACATAATCTTATATGTTTCAAATTTCTTGTAAATAGGTAAAGTGTGCGATGCTGTTGAGGTAGCTGGAAAAAATGTCATGTCCACATCATCCACTGTCACAACCGAGCTTGTTGATCACAGGTAAAGCTTGATATATGCATTGTCAAGTCTAGAGTATAAAATACCTATATATTAGGGATTGAATATGGTGATAGTATGATATTTGCCTTTCCTAAACAAGTGATTAAAAGTTCTTGCTTTGCTCCCTTGCTTTACTGCCGTGATTAACTGGTGAGATTATGGGAGCACACGCACACAAGTAATTTCGCACTGGCCGTAAAATGCCAACTTCAAATACCCAGAGTTCTAGATCTACATGCATAGAGTTGGAATTTAAAATTTATTCTGTGTGTGATCACCAAGAATGCGGAGATCTTGATCTCATAAGTTACAACGATATAAATCCCAATGATGCCATCCAAACTACGGACTCCAGTAAGAGAGTTATAATTATTAAATTGGAACTTGGAAGTATAAACATTTAATATCTTCTAAAGCATCCGATACTTCATTTTTTTAGTAGTTAGGGCAAGTCAACTAAATTGTAATTTATTTGAATGATTTTGCTAACTATTGCCCTACGGACACTGTTTTTATTTGATTCTATCTCTGGTCCTCTATGTAAGAAACAAATGGATACATTTTTTAGTTATAATTATAAGAAACATATACCTTTTTTAAAATTTATTAATTGCAAATTTTATTTTTATGTCCTTAGTTTATTGTAAAATTTGTTAATGAGACAATCGTGTTCTATGCAAGTGGATATATTTATTGACCTATTAATAATTTAAGTTAATGAAAAAAATTATCCCTTCAATTAGGTAGTATCATTAAATATAATTCTTATTTAAACCATTTTAATTCTACAGGTGTTTCTAGAGTAAAATTTGAATTTATAACATTATTGATTAAATTTAAAGTTAACTAAATTAACTATTGTTGTGTTCTTATTTGTTTCTTATATCTATAGAGATAGAGATATATAGTATCAAGTTGAGGATGTATTGGTAACAATAAATGGTGATTACACTTATAAAACTTTTCATTTTGATCCCTTAACCATTGCCTTTAGGAAACTATAGTTCATTTTCCATGACATGCTTTGAGAATTAAAGCATAAAATATAGGACGAGTGGAATGCCATTTCGCTTCTTAACAGTTCAGAATTGAATTTGACATTCTGTATCTACAGATATGGAGAACAAGCAGCTGAAGCAACAAGTGAAGGGTTTAGTGCTGCTGGTCATGCTTTGGGTACCGCGTGGGCTGCTTTTAAGATTAGGAAGGCTATCAACCCTAAAAGTGTTCTTAAACCTACCGCCCTTGCCAAAGCTGGTGCTAAAGCTGCAGCTTCTGAATTTAAGGGTAAAAAATCCAAGTAATTTATGCCAGGAGTTCTTCTATTTAGGTCTTGTCCATCCTACAATCGAAAACTGCTGCTTTTGGCTTTTCATTACCCATTTTTTCTCTAGGAAATGGCATGGTAACATCAGCGCATGATTTGTTGATGTTATCCTTTCCGTTTTCAGTGTGTGTGATTTGGATCCTCCTGTCTTTCCATAATTGGTCAGAGTAATCCGCTTATCATGTGAGAACCCACCATGTTTGGTCGTGAGACCTTATCTAGATATTGGAGAACATGATAGGAACCAAATGTGTGTATTTATGTATATATATATGCCTGTGTGTAGCAACCATGCTTATTGCTTGGGCAGCAAGAGGTTCACAAATGAATGGTGATGGATGTTGGAAATTAAACTCACTTGTGGTTCTGGTCTCCATGAAGTGTGTTCTTTGTTGGCATCAGTTGTTTCCGAAGTGCGTTTGTAATCACATATCACTTTTACTCTTTATGGAACGAGGTAGTTTAGTGTTGTGCCACTTTCAGGTACAGTGAAAATTTGAATGTGTGGGTGGACGATTGGAAGTTTTGCAAAATCAGTGCTGGAGGAAAAGCTGCCCCGATAAGGTTGTATACTATTTATTGTCACTTTAGTTAGTTATACATAATTTTCTTGAGATATTACTTTTGGATTAATGATAATAGATGCGATATAAATTAGATATTTTCACCTAACTTGATTTCATCTTAACACTTGTATTATGATATTTTCTGGAATATAGAGCTTTATTTCTTTACTTGCTACTCACTAGCTGCTCACTGGCTCTTTCCTAATACGGTCGGCTTAGTGAAAATTAAATAAACTTAAGAATCAGCATTCGTCGGAGGTAGGAATGAGATCATATTAATTGTTAAACCATTAGTTCTACGGGCTGACGATTTTGATTGGGCCAACAACCTAACTTTTTCTTCTTTTTTGTGAAGTTGGATGGAAATAAATGATAGAAAATGAAAAGGTGAAAATAAAGGGAGATAAAATATCTTAATTTTTACTCGTGTGCAAGATAAAGGGTGTAAATGAATAAAAAAGGTTCTTTTGTTTAAAGGTGAGTGAAAATGATCTGTATTCTGTTTTTGATAATCTTAAATTAGTTATTTTAGATTACATGTGTTATTTTATATATATATATATATATATATATATATATATATATATATATTGTCACTATTTGTTCTTTTAGAAAATATAAGTGTTATGTATATTCTTTTTTATTAAAGGTTAAATTACAACACGACGATTAATTTAATAACAAGATAATTTTGATTGTAAATTATTTTTGAGTGGATGAATTTGGTAATAACGAGTTTAAAGGATTAATATCAGGATATTAGAGATGTTTGAGATATTAATTTTAGTAACAATTTGTTTGTTTGTTTGTTTTGTTTGAAAAAACGATATTGAAGTAGATATAAATTTTTAATATTAACTTGAAACTTTGCCAACATTATTATTATTATTATTATTATTATTATTATATATTATGTGAGTGTAAAATATTTTTTTTATTTTAGATAATTATAATATTGGTATGAAATATTCATTATTGAAAGTAATGAATATTTTTTTTTTAATATAGTCTATTTTATATTAAAAATCACGATTTTAACCTTGAAGATCAAAATCAAGGGATTTAATTGTTTCTGGTTTTATATCTTATCTTTCAATTGTTTATTTACATTTAACAAGATTCATTTGTCACCTTCTCAGTAGTGGCTTATGGAATCATGAGCTGTTGCATAAGCTTAATATTTTTTATTTGGTGGCATGGGATTGGGAGGGTAAGGCATCGTTGGAGCACCAACCTAAGTTAGGATAGCGATGTTTTATTTCAAATGTGTATTGCAAGCTCTCAAAATTTCGATGGCCGTAAACGTGCACAAGTCTTTGCAGCGAATCAAACGCTACTTTTGTGTTGAAACTATTTCATCCTTTTTATACATATCTATATAATATATAAATCTTTAACCTAAACTTACGTTTATAATAACATCCGCTAAAAGATGAGTATATGCTAAAATGTGGCGTGGACTTTTATCAGCAAGTCGATTGGTTGAAAAATTGTGGTCTTGGATTACTCGATATTTTATCAGAAGACTAGAGAAGGAATTTTAATTATGAACTCTCTCTTAGAGGAAATTCAAAATAAAACAATTTTTTTTAAAAAAAAAAAAAAGGTTGACGCAGTGTCAGCACCCCTAGTTCTGCTGTGAGAACAGTGATTTACTATAAGAGGATTTTGCCATGATAATTGGCATTAGAAAGATGAATCTAACCGATGACTATGTTGTGTGATTACTATTATTATTATTTGCGGATGAATGTTTACCGGACATTGTAAATGAAAACCACTGATCCTTGATATAGTGTATGGTCATGATTAATTATTTTTGCAGTACTGCTCTTATATTATATTATATATGACAGGTTCCCTCTAGTCTCTAGATACTTGTGCTTGACAAAGTCATCCTTAATATATGATATAGAAAAATCCTCCAATGAATTTGCCCAATGATCGGTGTACATTGTACATGTTTATATTTTTGCAAAAGACATGGATTCCACTTGATTCCCGTCATTGAACATAATCTCAATGACTTGATTGATATTTTGACATTCTTATCTTTCACCCTTCCCAATGAAGATGACTTTTGTTATTGCCATTAATACATATATCACTTCAAATTAGGAGAGTTTCCCTTATCGTAGGCCTTTTATGAAAACCACAGAAATTTAATTCCTTCTTGATCCATACAATATAATTGGTAGCTGCATGCTTCTGTGGAAATAATGTATAAAACTTGTTTTAAATATGAGTAGGAAGTGTCACTGAATCGGCTCTTTTATCTTTAGTTAGTGCCCCAAGATTTTCCATATCAGCCTATTGCTTCATGGTTTGCTAATTGCCGCCATATATCTCTGACTAAACAAACAATTAATCTATTAAAATCAATAAAAAATAATTAAGATAGTTAATTTTATTAATAATATCAAAATAATTTTATTTTAGTTTTTTAGTTAATTAACTTAAGTAATTACACTCAATTCAAGAAATAACTTCTTTTATTAATGAACTTGTATGTTAAAAAATTAATAAGTTCATCTACTATAAAATGAAATTAATAATTAATATATTTTAAAATAAATATTTGTTTCTTATAATTAAAAAATTATAATTATTTATTTTTTTATATAAAGGAGTACGAGTTAAATTCTTGACTAAAAGATTGTCAATAAGATGCTGTTTGTTACAAATTCCCGAACCCAAATTAAGTCCCTTTGTTTGGGAACCAAAAGAATAGAAATAGGATTTTTGAAAATATTTATAAAATATAATATGCTATTATTCTATTTTTCTATGAATAATTTGTTTGTGGTTCATTACCATAAGAAAAATAGTAATTTTGTATTCAATTATTTCGAGCTAATTTTTTTTCTTATAAAAGTGAGAAAAAAAACTATTCCTAGTTATTTATGAAATAATATTCCAAAAAAATTATATTCAACTATTTTTATTAAATAGGAGAAAATTTTATCTTTTGTCAATTTTTTTAGAAATTTTTAAATATTTCTAGCTAATATGAATGTGACCTAAAGGACCTTCTCTAACAGTACTCACGAAGTAGGTCTCTAAGAGAAAGTTAGAAGTTAAAGATATGTTATTTTTTTATTAAAAATATAACTCTTTTTTATTATGTCAAATTTTATAAGAATAAATGTACTTTCTAATAATAGTAAAAAAGATATTAGATTTAATTTGATTTATTTATTACTTTCATAAATATTTATAAAATATTATTTTAAAATTTTTGTTCTGATATGGAGGACAATCACCATAAAGCTCTAGTTATTATCCGAATCTAGAACATTTAGTGGGTATCAAAACTGTTTTTTCTAGACCTATTTGTCTTTATTTATATCAGCATGATGCTAAGACACAAATCTCATGCTTGTTGCTACAATCCCGCGAATCACACCATACTATTATTGTCATTAATAGATTTATAAATCTTGATATTTATGATCATTATCTTATCCGTTCTGAGGATCACGAGATCTTATTATTGGTCACTTGAATACTCGGTCATTTTTTACGTAAATGAGAGATAATTGACCTATGGAAGACTATAATGTAAAGATCGATCTTTTAAATACCTAATGTCAGTTAACGAATTGGTATTATGGTCATTATTTTACCTGTTTTGAGGAGCATGGGATCTTATTATTGTTCGTTTGAATACTTAGTCATCTTCCACACAAGTGTGAGATAGTTGACCTATGAGAGACTATGATGTAAATATCGATCTTTTAGAGACCTGACAGTTAACAGTTGATAGATATAGTCGGCATATGGGAGACTAGCATGAATAGTAGACATATGAGAGACTAGCACAATACATAGCCCTTCAGGCTCAAATACGAGAGTGAGAAAAGTCTAAGCGATTGGTTATCCTTCATAGATAGTCTTTAACATTCGCTTAGGACCTCTCAGTCAGTAGGAGACCACTATAGTATATAGCCCTCCAGGCTCAAGCATGAAAGTGCAAAGAGTCTATGCTCTAACACAATCTCCCTTTTGGCGATACATGTTAAGTAGGTTGGTAGGAGACCATTATAGTACATAGCCCTTCAGGCTCAAATACGAGAGTGCAAAGAGTCTAAGTGATTGGTTACCTTCCGTACACAGTTAGCATTCGCCTAGGAGACCTCTTAACCAATAGGAGACCGCCATGGTACATAGCTCTGCAAGCTCAAGCACAAGAATGCAAGAGTCTATGCTCTCACATGGTCGCTCTTTTGGTGATACATTTTAAGTAGGTCAGTATTTCACCAATTGATTCAAATGATGTTGGTAAAGTAGTGTTGATATGTAATTATGCTAGGATAGTTGGACAAAGCTTGAGATTCAACATAGCCATGTTTCGTCGAATTTAAAAAATAAATTTGTATTGTCTATAAATCTTCAATATATTTTTCAAGATTTTCTTTTCAATGATAAGGTTGGAAATCTACGTGTATATCTTGGGATGTATTAATCATGCCAAAGCAATCAGAGGACTGTCGGGACTTGCCATTAATAATGTGAAATTTAATGTAATCCTCGATTATTCTTTGGGTTTTCAAGACATGTAGTTGTTTAGAATAGGAGATTGTGGATGTTAAGAAGTTTAATTGCATTAGGGAGTAGCTTGTATAATCTAAGATCTTTAAAATGATCTTCATGTCAAGGTTTATAAATGTTTAAATTTTGACCATAAAGTGCTTTTTGCATCAAGGTGTAAATCTTTTAATTTCCAACCTTAAAGTGTTATGTGCACCAAGGTGTAGATCTTTTATTTTTTGATCTTAAGGTGCTCTTGGCACCAAGGTTTAGGTCATATAAATTCTGATAATAAAGTGCTCTTCACACCAAGTTGTAGGCCATTTAATTTTCAATCAAAAAGTGTTCTTTGCACCAAGTTTTAGGTCATCTAAATTTTGACCTTAAAGTCCTCTTTGCACCAAGGTTTAGGTCTATTAAATTCAAACTTATAAGTGTTCTTCACACCAAGGTGTAGGTCATTTGAATTTCAAGCTTAAAGTGTGTTTTGCACTAAGGTTTAGGTCTTCTAAATTTTGACCTTAAGACATTTTTCGAGTATAGGTTTGTAGTTATTAAAATTCTAAGCTTTAGATGCTTTTCACACCAAGGTTATAGTCATCAAAATTTTGATCATAAGACATTTTTCATGTCAAAGT